ACACGAGTCGCTTTCATAGTATGCCACTCCGGCTTGCCCGCCAACTTCGGTTACACTCGACTTCTTTCGACATCCCAAACACACGGACATGGAAAACTTTCATTGTGTGCAATCCCAGTGGCACAGGGAGAGGGTAAGATTTACCCACGATCTGACAGCACTGAAGCCAGATCGTAGAACATTTCTACCCCTTCTCTCGAGCCTAGCACGCCTTACCCAACGAAATGTTACGTGTCGGTGTCTCGAGAAACCGAAAGAAGCCGAGGGAAGCCGAGGTTAGCTGCGTGACAGAAGAGAATTAATACCCCCGCCACGTGCCGCGGAGAAATACATGACATAATAACATTTAAATAATGTATAAAACAATACACATACATGACACATAACATTTCGTTGTGTGCGAGCCGTGCTGGGCTCGAGAGAAGGGGTAGAAACGTTCTACTAGAGACCCTATAGGAGGGATGCGTCATGTAAATTGCAAGGCTGAAAATGTGGGGGGACAACTTCCGTTGCATCGCCTAGCCATGTTTATCTTTAGTATGTATTAACGACTGTGATTAGTTTAAGCTTGGAATACTTATAGTTTTTATTGTGATATTTATATTTAATTGTTTTGTTTTTTTTTAGTAGTTTTCTATAAGTGTAAGTTTAATTTACTCATTTAATAATTACAAGTATAAATGTAATAACCTAACCTATAACTTATCGTTTGTTTACAGATATTGTTTATGATAAATAATCATGGTTCGACAGTGTATTCTTAATTACTGCAAAAGTTCAACAAGAACTACTCAAGATCGTAAATTTTGTCGTTTTCCAAAACACGAAGAACGTCGAAAATTGTGGTTGCAAAATAGCAATGTTGCAGCTGAAAATGTGAAAAAATATTCAGTTTTATGTGATGTGAGATTTTGTCTGATTATACTTATTTTTAATTGATTTTATACTAAACTAATAAATATTAAATGAAAAATAAATCATTTGTAGAAACATTTTTCCGAAGACTGTTGGAAGATAGTAAATGGAAAGAGGTGTTTAAAAAATACTGCAGTACCTACAATTTTTATCCAATCTAGTACTTTAACAGATAAAAAAGGTAAGATATTAAATTTTACTCTAAATATTATTTTGATATCTATATATAATATTGTACTTTGTACATTTTACTTCTTCTTATAAATATGTAGTAGCGTCTTATACGTAGGTTGAAACTTAAATAGTGGAAACTATTTATTCACAACCGATACAGAAGAGTTAGATGTTTGCACCTGTTACTGTCCTTCAAAGTAGTCACTAGCGTTGTGTAGAACCCGTTGCCAGCGATGTGGAAGGCATAGTATACCGTCAGCAGAGCCTGTTCTGTTGATGGTGAAAATGGAGCGGTCTACTGCCATGTCCCATCCAGTGTTACGATACGGTGTAAGAAAGCCTCTCCATCGCGCTCATAGCGCTCCAATTCCGTCTGATCAACGACGTAACACATCCATTTCTGCATTTCCGTCAATTCATGCGGAACCCATCGTAGCATTCGCTTCAGAACTGTTCCAGAGATTCGATAGGCAGTAGTAGACTGCTCGATTCGCACCATCAACAGAACTGGCTTTGCTGACGGTATACTACGCCTTCCAAATCGCTGGCAACGGGTTCTATACAACGCTGGTGACTACTTTGGAGGACAGTAACAGGCGCAAACATGTAACTCTTTTATAACGGTTGTGAATAAATAGTTGCCACTATTTAAGTTCCATCCTACGTATATTGTTTCAGGTGTTACATTATCTTTTAATCAAAGTATTTTGAAAAGAAATGTACTGGGAAACGTAAAAAATAATTCTGATTTGTCAAATGTACTTCCTTCTACTACTGCAACTTGTATTCCAGGTAAATAGTAGTTTTATTTCTCATACGTTTCAATTACAATAACAATTTATTTAAAAATTATTTCAATTGTTCGTAGCTCAACAAGAAATTATGTCTAAACAAGATGCAAAAAGCATATCAACGACAAAAATATCGGAAAATGTTTCCACTGCTTGTCCAGTAATTGAAAAGAATTCAGCTTGCTGTGAGGAATCCAATTCGTCACCATTAACTCCAGCAAATAATGTTAAAGGTATGGTAATAAATCGCAGTTAAAAACATTTCTAATTTTTAATAAAGGAAAAAATATAAATAAACGCTCATCTTTTTAGATATCTCATTGTCAAATGTAACACTCGAAGAGCATGCCACAATAACACAACCATGTAAGTCATTAATTTTGCCCACAATAGTAAAGTTATTTTAGGAATGTAATATGTAAATATACCAGTATAAATTAGTATTTACAAGTGTAATATTGTCTAATATAGTATTTTTTTACGTTAATTTTGCAGGTGACACTAATGAAGAATTGTTACACGCTTCATCTGAAAGTATTGAAGATACAAGTAATGAACTCATGTTAAAAGGAATTGACAGTATTTGTGATGAAATTAATTCGAGTGAAAGCCGAGATCACAAGGATTGCGTTAATACAATTAAAAAATTAAAAACTTTGTTAAGTAGAAATCTGAAAACAATTAAGATTATAAAAACACAACATAAAAAATCCCGAAATCAATATAAAAAGCAGATCAAAGATTTACAACAAAAAGTATGTAGGAGTAACAGCTTACAAAATCGAATTTATTCTATTTTTAATGAAGATCAAGTCAAACTTATGACCGGTATGCGTAAAAAAACTCCAAAATTTCTAAATACCACGCTAGATCAATCATATAAAATAAAATTTGCTTGTGGTTTATCGGGTTACAAAGAGCTTCGTAAACAAGGCTATCCATTACCATCTCCTAGAACATTAAATAGAGGTATCGAAAATCCTAAATCTTAGCTGATTTATTAATCTTGGTAATTAAAAACAAATTGTACGAATGATTAAAATAATTATAAATATAATATATATAGTAGATAATTTTATTTATTAAAATTGTATAAATTCGTACAAGTTGTTTTAAAATTTCAAAATACTGTAATACTTTTTATCAAATCAAACTTAATTTAATCTTTTTTTTTGAATGTATAATAATTTTGTTGTGTAATCTATTCTATTTTAATATAAATTTTTAATTATCATTAAATATTGTTCATTTTTTGTCTGTATTTGATGCAATTCATTATTTCATAATTTTTTCAAACCAATTAACCACTCTACCCTCTACACTATTCACTATTACTATATACAACTTTTATACTATTTAAAATGTTTGACTTATTCGCGCGCAATCACGTGACTACATAAGTTCCTGTCTTCCAAAATTCTTTGGCGCGTCCCTCCTACAGGGTTCCTATAGTTAATTATCTACTATCGCCCACTGGTGGTCAGTGTACTAACTAAGATTATTATGATTTTACATCAAGTAGACTTTTAAGTTTTTATATAATTATTATCTTTTATTTTAATATAATATTAATATATATTTTTAAACAGATAGATTTGAAAAGTCGAATACTAAATTAAAGGAAGAATATAACTATTATCCTTTAATAAATTATTAAATTTTTTTAAAGGTAATATTTATTTTCGATTTAAATTCGATATGGCGTCGCGCGCATCGTACCGTACAGATTTTATGTATTAGACTACATATATTCGTTTGTTGATTAAAGAATATATAACATTATCAAACTCCTAAATGTGTTTTAAATGTGTTAAGTTATTTTTATCTGTTAAAAGAACCATGATTTTATCATAATTAAGTGTTTCTATATATTACATACATTTGTGGTCAGTTTACACTGTGTTAGGTTATATTTTAACTAAAATTTACATAGGATTATTTACTTTATTTTCATCAATCTAAAATTCTTAATCAACGGTTACAATATGAACGTTGTTCCTGGGACAGCTTCCTTATTAGGAGAACTTGACAGTATGTCTGATTTTTATTGTCACTATGATTGTTATACTGACATTTATTATTATTTTTTAAAATTGAATCAAATCTATTATTTACAAACAAAATACATTCACATTGTGCTCGATTACTTGGTCGAGTTTTAATAATTAAATAATAATTGTTTATTGTGTATTTATTTTGTATTACCATATGACTTCTATGACATTTTAAATATTAAGTAGACCAGAAAGTAATGTCGCTTTCTAACCTTAAATTGAAACAAATAAATTTCTAACAAATTTATATTTTTAATCAACAACATAAACAACCTCGTTATCAACAACCTTTCTTTATCTAGTATGCAAATTTTTAATATCAATTTGATTAAAAATCAATCGATTTTTGATCAAAAATATACACAATTTGACATTTGTTGAAACGACATTACTTTCTGGTCCACCTAATATATAGATATATATATATATTTTATTTCTATTTTGTACTAATATACATATTGTTTTTTTTTGGTTTAGAAAAACTAATGGTTTTGCTGAGAGATGGTAGAACATTAATTGGATACCTAAGAAGTGTTGATCAATTTGCTAACATAGTACTTCATCAAACCATTGAAAGAATTCATGTTGGTAAAGAATATGGTGATATTCCAAGAGGCATATTTATTGTCAGAGGAGAGAACGTCGTACTATTAGGAGAAATAGTAAGTGTGATTATTAGGGTGGATCAAAAAAATCAATTCAGAGACAGAAATCAGTACACATGAAAGTTTGATGATGAATATCTTTTGAACGCTTAATTTAATCGCCAAAACATAAGACACCATTTTTATAGAGCAGTTAATTTCCTACCAAAAATTTGTATTGCGCATTTTATAATAGTCATTTATTGTCGAGTTATAAAATTCATCAACAAAAAATGAAATTTGTCTGAAAATAATCAAACTTAAATCTTCAATATCATTCAAATGGTGAGGTTTATGGAAAAAATATAAGAGACCTTTTTTGTAGAGCATTAAATTTCCTACAAAATTTGTCTAGAACATTTTTCTCTACAATCAATAAATAATGAGGTATGAATTTTATTCTATTTGACTGAGAAAAAAAGTAAAAAACTGCGATTTTTACTTGGATCAAATAATTGATTTTTTTGACTCAACCTAGTGATTATTTTATCAAAAAAAGAAGTACATATTTACAAGAGTAGATAAATGTTTTTTTTATATTTATTCACAGGATAGGGAAAAAGAAAGAAATTTACCATTGACAGAAGTAACGGTGGATGATATTCTAGATGCACAAAGAAGAGAACAAGAAATGAAACAAGATCAAAAACGTTTGATGAACAAGGCATTGAAGGAACGTGGTCTTTCATATATTCCAGATTTGGGTCATGATGATATGTTCTGACCCACGTCTACATCTCTGACAACTACTTTAGAATCATCTCCAACATCTTCACATAATTCTGACAACAACTATGATGTTTGTTGTACATCAGTGTCATTCTATTAACATTACCAAAAATATACATGTGACTTTGAATAACCAAAATTGATTCAAATAAGAATTTGGAAAAATAAGAAAAGAAAAGATTAACAGTATGATCTATTATATACAGGGTGTCTCATATAACTGTATTCACGATTTTTCAACTATTTACAATAATCTAACAAAAAAGTTTGATATGTTTTTGATTGAGTATACATTGCAATAATAATAAAAAAAAAAAAAAACGTTAAAAAAAATTCTTTTTGTTTTTTAAAGCTACCTTTGTTTTTTTTTTAATGACACCCTATATTTTGGATTTTGCATTAATACGAATTCAATGAATTAGTACACCTAACGTATACCTTCTTTGTATGAACTTGAAATTCAGTTCTATAAGCATCAAATGAAAATATTTTGATGAAACGTACAAACTGTAAAAATGTTAATAGCAATAGTTAAAATAGTTTGTTGTAAATAGTCAATTACATTCGTAATTAAATTTTTAATAATATAACATTAGTCAATAAAACATTAGTCCTGAATTTCGAGTATTTTAAATAATAAACATAAGTTATTATCGTCCATTTGTATTCATGGTATTTTCAAGGTAACAAACAAAACATAATAAAAAAAAGAAAACAAACAAACAAACAAATTTACTTAAACTTTTGTTATTTTTATTGCAATTTATAATCAATCGAAAACAGATGAACTATTTTGTTGTCAGATTATCGCAAGTTACTTGAAAAAATTGTGAATACAGTTATATGAGACACTCTGTATATACATATATATTCATTAAATATCACACATTAATATCTTATAGAATAAATATAGTATTCTATGTCATTTTTAAGTATATAAGTGATTATATAATATTGTACTATTGTCATATTAAGTATTTATATATTTTTTTTTTTTGATAATAATTCTTTATAAAAATATTAACGAAATAGATGATAATATTGAAAATACTCTTGATATTAATAACGAATTAAAAATTGATATAAAAAAAAAAAAAAAAATAGATATACATATACATATATATATAAACTCTATTATAGTAGGTTCTTCAAAATGTTTTAGTAAAATGAAATTTAGAAAATGTTTGTTCATTGTGGTAAATACTTTTTACTTCTTAATTCTACAACAAATTTATATATTACATACCTTAGATATATTAGTATAATATAAAAAAAACAACCATATTATCAATCAATCAATTTTACCCTGATATCAAATTATTATTATATATATATATATTGTGTTTTGTGTGTGCCAAGAGAGCCTAGTATTTAAATATTTTTTAAAGAGACCAAAAAAAAAAAAACAATTAGAAGAAACATTTTGTGAAAATATCCATGCCATTATTACCAATTAACATTTAAAAAAAAATATTGATTATTATCATAGATTCGATGAAATGTCATGATTGAAATTAAATTCCAAGTAAGAAAATATCCCTGAAAAATCTGTTTATGATCAATGATTATTTAAAAAAAAAAAAAAAAAAAAAGAAAACCAAAAAAATATATATATATATATATATATAATATACGATTGGCAGTAAAAACTTGACTAAAAATCACGTTTATATTTAATCAATGGTCATTACTGAAAATTCACATTAATCTGTACTTATATTTTTAAGTATACATCTTCTTCTTCTTCTTCTTCTTCTTCTTCTTCTTCTTCTTTTAACAATTTTAAAACGATGTCTCCTGAAATGTATCTTTTACTTTAGTAGAATTTAATTTTGATTCGCTAATCTGTTTGTACTTAAAACTTTGACCACGTTCTGTCTTAGACATATTATCTTTATCCTTTGTAGATCTTTTCGAATCATTACGTTGTAAACTGGTACCACGTTTTCTTGGAGAAACAATATCTTCAATTTTCTCTGAAGAATCATTAGCGCTATTTGCACTACCAGAGGCTATACCAGACGTGTCAGATTCTGGATTATTTCCATCTAAACAACGAAGTAAACTACTAGATAGTCCGTCTTCATTTAAAATATTAATGTCAGATTCTGATTGTTCAAAATCATCGGTGCGTGATGTAAAACTAAGATCAACAGGACTAGCAGTTAATACGCTTCTTGATAATAAATATTCCCTAAATGTGCTTGTTATAGACATTGAACTTTGTCTTGTCATGGTACAACATTCGTCCACAATAGAATTATCCAAATTTTCCTTTTGACATATTTCCGTTGTTACATTTTCTTTATCATCCATGTCAACACCTTCCATGTAAATAATTTCACCATCTGCTGGACTATCTGGTTTACGTAATTTTTCTAAAATAGAAGAACAGTCCACATGAGCGAACAGATCAATGTTTGATCTATGCGAGTTGTTGTCACTGGAAACATTACGTTGTGAACTCTCATTTATACTGGCAAGATCACAAAGATTCGATCCTGATACCATCATAACGGGTTTACGAGAACGTGGAGTCATCATGGTTTCCTGTAATTTTAAATATCATATTTTTAATTATACAATCAATATCATCATTACCTTGTATATAAAAGTAAATAACATGCATACCTGCATAGCTTTGGTCATTTTAGTTGCACTTTGTGTTATTGGACTCATGCTTTTGTCATTATTAGTGATAGGTGTCAGTATGTAATCATTAGCAACTAAACTTTTTCGCAATAGATTTGATGGCGTCGAAGTATGAGCAGCATATACATTCCAAAATCTATTTTTAACCCTTGGAGATGGATGTGAACATGCATTTTCCATACATGAATCATATTTCAATGTCATTTCTAAAGATTTGGCATCAACATCTGCGATTTTATGTGTACAATCAATTTCTACATTTGTTCTTCTAGATATTGGAAATACTGGTTCAGAATTTTGTCTAATCAATTCAGCATTATCAACAGTATCTGATGTAACTTGAGAAGAATACATGTCTGGTGGTTCGCTAGATTGTTTAGACAATCTACTATTATCAGATAAATGAGTATTTTTGTCTGTATTATCTTCATCATTAGAAAATTCATCATTTATAAATGTACTTCCATCTGATGTTTTATTACTTTCCGAACTATTTACAAATGATTGTTCTAATTTTAATGGAGATGATTTGTCGTATGTTATTTCTTGATATTCTTCATTAGAACGTTTATTATCGTTAATATTTACAAAACCCATGAATTTTCTTTTACTTTTATATGTTTTTGAAGTAGGAGCGTTAATACTACCAGTACTGTTACTAATATGTTTAGTGCGTAGAAGATTATTAGTATCAGTACTTGAATTTTCAATATTTAATTCATCATCCGATGTAGTGTAACGAGTTTTTTGAAGAAACGGCTTTTCAAGACTCTGTGTAACACATGCAAAGCATATCAATTAATTCCTAATGTGTTTTCATCATAAATTATTGTAAAATATACAAATTCAAACAAAATTATATGAGACTTTTCACATCAAATCCGACGACCACTTTTGATGAACCCATCCCTGTTTCAATTCTTGCTGAAATTTTGTATTCTAAATGTTTTTGAAAAGAAATATTACAAAAAATTTTTTCATTTAAATTCTATAAGAAATTTCATTTAAATTTTGATATTAATATTTATATATAATTTAATTTTATAATTAATATTATTTTAATTAATAAAATATAATAAAAAGTTGTTTTTTTTTTTTTTCAAATTTTCCTATTTTTCTATTTCATTTTTAATTTTAAAAATTTTTCGTTTTATTATTTTGACATTTAATTTTGTTTTTATATTAAAATAAACTTAATTAAATAAATATAAATATTTTTCAATGTATTTAACCCTTTGAGTACTGGATTATTTAAAGATTTTTATTCATATACAGGGTGAATTTTGTAACTGGAACGGGTAATAACTTTTTTTTAAGTAACAATAGAAAAAAATCATAGAGGAAAAAGTTCTATGGCACAACAAACGTCAACTTTCTATGACATTACTTTTTTTGAAAATGCATCGATGCACCTGCTAGATGCAGTTGCACTTTTTTTTCAAATGGA